TGTCTCCCAGTCAAAAATGGGATTGTGAGCACGTAACCATGGATACCCTAATACTAACTGTGAAGAGGGAGAGGTGATGACCTGGAATCGAATGGTTTCATAGTGTAAAACCCCTGTGTACATGTGTAATGGTACAGTCTCATGAGTAACAACTGGAGAACTTAATGGTCTACCATCTATGGCCTCAACGGCCAAGGGTATCTCCTTCTCTCTGATGGGAATGTTGTTTCTCTTTATAAAGCCAGAGTCTATAAAATTTTCAGCTGCCCCAGAGTCAACCAGAGCATATATGTTGTCAACTATACAAATCTCTCCCATATATAAAGAAACCGGGAGAAGCAAGCGGTTAGGAGGCAATTTAGGAGACTTAGATATCACACCCAAGGCCAGTCCCCTATAAGGTCTTAGGTGCGAGAGTTTTCCGGGAGTAAAGGACATTCCTTTACCATATGGTCTCTCCTACCACAGTATAGGCAGAGTCCCTCCCTTCTCCTATGTAATTTCTCAGTATCAGAGAGTTTGGCAACCCCTAATTGCATAGGTTCCTCCTCAGATACTTTAACACTCTCTGGTATATTAACTCTGGGGTTAATGGGTGTAACAAAACGTCTATTCCTGTTCTTGGTATAGAGCCTGTCACGAATTCTATTATCAATATCAATGAGGTAATCGATAAGGTCCTCTAAGGCAATAGGAAGCTCCTTAGCTGCTACCTCATCCAATATCGTATCTGACAAACCTTCCATAAAGGCAGTAGTTAACCCATTGTTGGTCCAATCTACCTGCGAAGCAAGAGTGCGAAACTGAATAGCATAATCAGCCACAGACCTAGAACCCTGTTTAATTCTCATTAATGCTCTCGCGGCATTCTTTGACCTTTTCATTGTGTCAAAAGTTCTACGAAAAGCCGTAAGAAAACTGTTGAAATCATGTACCATAGGTCCATTAGCTTCCCAAATAGGATTTGCCCACTCAAGTGCCTTATCGGTAAGTTGGTGCATAAAGAACCCAACCTTAGACCTCTCTGTGGGAAATGAACGTGGATACATTTCGAAGTGAAATTCAATCTGATTAATAAACCCTCTGCAAGTCTTAGAGTCCCCTCCATACCTAGGAGGAGGTGTTAAATGGGCCGAAGTATTAGGCAAAGTAGATACTTCAGGGAGAAGGGGCGTAGGAGGGTTAGGTGTAGTTGCTGGAACGGTTCTAGCTAGGAGCGTCTGGAGAGCCTGAGCTATTTGATCCATACGGTGATCCTGCTCTACAAATCTTGCCTCATGGGACGCCATCTGTTGAGCTAAATCTGCGGGGTCCATGGCCCTATCGTAATGTAACGAGAATATACCCCTACACGCAGGATCCAGCTAAACAGAGGCAAATACAGAGGAGAGATACGTCTACCGGACCTTAGAATGGCCGGACTCGACGTATATGAGAGGAGACAGAGCCAGGAACAAACCGAGGTCAAGGGCACAGAGAGACAGCGTAAACTAGGACAAGCCGGGGTCTGGTACACGGAAAACAGCAAGCCGGCAAACAGTACAGATAAGGATAAAGCGAAAACGAAGTCAGAATACGAAGCCAAAGTCAATACGAGAAAACACAACTGAACACCACAAGCGCTAAAGGGAACTGAAACAGAAACCACGATAGGGCAACGAGCTAAGGGAAAAAGGTAAGTTTAAATAGCTTTTAAACGAAAGTGATTGGCTCCTGTCACTTCCACACCCCCTATAGGTAATTGTACAGGGAGTGTGGTATGACAGGAGCCAATGGGAGCCTTTTGGCAATTAGGCTCCCACTGTCTCTTTAAGAGCGCGCCCGAGACTCGCGGCGCGCTCTTAGTTTCAGGCGGGACACGTGACCGCCTCACGCGGTCACTGCCCGCCTTCCATCCAAAGTAGTTGGATGAGCCGCGCGCGGCTCGTGCAGCCGCAGGACCGCGCGCGGCTTGAAGAGAGGACCGCGACCGGCCCCCGGTTAAGGTAAGTAACGCTACAAGTAGCTGTATTTATTGGGCTGTTGGAACACTAGAGTTTTCCAAAATCCTTTATATAAGCAATTAGGGTCTTATATACAGATCTGAGGGTTCATTTGCTGCTGCCTGGTGCTAGGCCCTCACCCTTTGCCTGTCCAATCGGACTTCACAGGGATTGCCTTATCACCTCTATTATTTGTCCTTTCTTTGTAACCCTTACATTGAGTGCTAGAAAGATTGCTTGTTTTACTATGTGCACATGTTGCTTCATGTAAGCATGCCTGCATGAATCCGTCCTATTGTTCATACCTCTGTGGCAGGTGTGAGTGGCTACTCTGGAAACTTGGATTGGAGATCTGGAGAAGCAAATTGCAACATTGAGGAAGATTGACAATCTTAAGAGGAGTCTGCTGCTCACTGCACAGAGTTTAGTGGAGACAGGAAGTAGAGTGGGAGGAGATAAGAGACAGCTGGGGAAGAGGGATGTAACTGGGTAACAATTAAGTGAGGTAGTGGGAGGCTGTGGGAGGAAGAGGAAAAGTTTAACTAGTCCCGATCTCATGCAACCAAACAGATTTGTCAGTTTGAGTGAAGAAGTTGGGAGCATCAGCTCAGGAGTAGCTGTACTGGAGGAAGCTGTTCCTTCTAATAGCAGAGGGAACAGCCCCTCCAGTATGGGTGGGGTTGAAAATGTAAGAAAGGCTAGACAGGTTGTGGTGGTAGGGGACTATATTATTAAGAGAGTAGATAGGGTAATCTGGCGCTTTGATTGTACCAACTGGTAGGTTTGCAGTCTCCCGGGTGCTTGGGTCAAACATTTGCTGACAGAGTGGATGGATTAATTTGAAGGGCTGGAGATGACCCGGCTGTCATGGTCTATATTGGTAGAATTGACAAAGTCAGAGAAAAATGGAAGGTCCTAAAGAATGAGCTCAGCAAATTAGGAATTAAGAAGAGAATCTCCAAGGTCACTCGCTACATTGGATAGGCAGCAAGAGATTAGAAAGCTCAAGAGATTAGAAAGTCTTCTTGTAGGAAGGAGGGTTTTGGCTTTTTATAGCACTCACCCGATTTTGTGCTTGGGTACAATCTGTCACTGGTGGCGGTTCAGATGATGATGATAGGAGTCACTGCATGGAAAAGGACTATCAGGGCCTGGTGATGGATAACCACAAGCCCCCTGGTGTTGAGCACAGGCGTTTGTGCAGCCACATACCAGAGGCCTGATGCAGCCTTCCCAGGAGTTGATATAAAGCAGATAAGTATCCAGTACTAGAAAAAAAGACAAGACTAAAATAGGCACCAAACAATATAAGACAAGACTCAGAGAACCCAGAACAAGAGCAGGACAGAAAGCAGAACCCAGAACATGTACATAATACATGAGCAAAACCGAGGTGCAAGTGTATACTGAGAACGGGCAGCAGCTGAAATACCCTGACGTTCAGAGGGTCCACACTCAGATCTCAAGCTGGTTTTAGCTCATATTGTGCCATTACAAAGAGAACATCTCTGAAACATATCAGACTGGTTCCACCCATACGAGCAGTCCAGATCCGAAATGCCAGCAAGTTCCCTCCGCACGAGAGATACAGCAACCCGGGACGATCGTTTCAGCCTTGTTAGGCATCATCAGTGAAGCATAACTGAAATTTCTTTCATGAGGGAAACATGAACAGGGAAAGACAGGACAGGACTGTACATGAACTGGGAATACAAGACAAAATAAAACAAGACAAGACATATAAGGCAAAACAAGAGGAGAAATAACTAAGTACTATATATGTAATAAACATTGGAGATTTAGACATACATAAATGGCCAAGATGTATGCAGCCCACCACTGCGCCAAAGTACTCCAATTACGGTGGGTCATAACTGCCTAGATATGCATGGCTAAATATACAACAATAAAACACACACAGTACTTACCTGCAAAGAAAGGAGCAGAGGAAAAGAGACCACTGCTTGCAGAAACAGACTGAAAGAAAAAGGATAATGGGTATGGCAACAAAAAAAAAAAAACATTTAAAGGAATCCAGGAGACTGGGAATTCCAGGAACGGAATAAAGGAATTAACCCAGAAAACCCAGCATAACGAAAACCAAACATAGAACAGAAAACAAGAAAAACCAAGAAAAACTAAACAAGAATTGTGAAAAGAGTACTGGATGCCAGAAGCCAAGGCCAGACATCTGCGCAGAATGGAACAGGACGTTACACAATCTTTATAGCAAGGAAAGGTGGTGGGGTATGTTTGTATGTAAACCATGAGTTAAAAGCAAATCTTAAGCAAGTGGAATGTGACGAGGAACATGTGGAAGTTTTATGGGAAGATATCTGCTTGGGGATTAAGAAGAGAAATCATTTATTGGTTGGGATATGTTTTAAACAACCTAAAGTTAATATTGATGAGAAAAAAACAGCTTTTGGAGCAAATTGTGAAAGCTACACATCTGGGTACTAAATTATTAGAGATTTTAATTACCCGGACATAAATTGGGATAGAGGGACTATAAGTTCAGCAAGGGGAATCAGGTTTTTGAATGTGTTAAGTGACACCTTTATGTCACAACTAGTACAAGCATCAACTAGAAAGGATGCTTGTCTCAATCTGGTTATAACAAACAATATTAACCTTTTAACAAACGTTCAAGAAGGCGAGCACATGGGAAATAGTGATCACAATATGGTGTCTTGAAATAAATTCGAAAAAGCAAAAGGACATGCGGTATACTAAAAGATATACTAAAAGACCAATTTCAAGATAAGGACAGTTTTACAACATATTGATGGCATAAACTCTTTAGTGAAAAAAACACTGGGGATAAATAGAATATCTTAAAACAAATATTAGAAAGGTACATGTCTCAGTATGTATCATTAGGTAATAAATATAAAAGAAACAAATTAAAACCAATGTGGCTTGGGGGCGGGGCCTGGCCGCCGAGCTGGGTGGACGTGGGGCGCCTCGGCTCCCTGACAAACCCGCAATAACCAGCTTCAAAATGCCCCTACTCGCCTGGAAAACCCTCAGCTGCTGTGAGAGGGCAAAGGAGACCTGACCACCAACCTTCGGGGCAAGTACCAGCCCCCACTCCACTGGCAATGCGGTCTGGTGGGCGAGTGGGAATGCGGCCTGCTGTGAGGCCCTGGCGGGAGAAGCGGCCGATCTCCCGTGCTTGGTCGCCACCTGCTAAGGGCCCCGTTACCCCCCCCCGTGGGCCGGGGGGGTTATCCCGGACCCCACCGGGGACGAAGCGGCCGTTCAGGGCATACAGGCTGCAAGAGGACTGACTGGGGACCGCATGGGAAAATCCAAGATGGCTGCCACACTCATTGTGAGACGGAGAAGTGAGGGGGAAGTACCTAAGCAACGGCAGACAGACTGAGTGCTCCTGCAACCAACAGGATAACTGCATGAGGGGTATACTCCACAAGCAAGCCCAGCTCAGCATAATAACCCTCACACCAACAGTGTAATACCAGTGGATATAGGGGGACTCTATCTGGACTCTGACTCTGCCTGAGTACAAGGTAACAACGAAAATGGGGGACAAGCTTCACTCCACTCCTAACTGTCAAGCCCCCGCACACTAAAACAACCAGCTACAAGCACAGATTTAGCACAGCTGCAAGAGGGATCAAGCGGCTCCTAACCATAAATGCCTACAGAAATAACAGCCTATGGTGTACCTCTTAATCCAGCACCTCATCCACAATTTTAATGTGTGTCTTTTGCATCAGACTCTCTTCCTGCAGTTAGAAAGTAATCAAAATGTCTGAGCCTGCATGTGTGTCCGACGCTCTGCTGCCCCCTGGTGGTTAAACTTAATTAAGCTTAAAGAAATCTGTTCTTGATGATAACCTTAGCTTCTGTTTTAATGGCAAAAATATGCTCACTGTTTTGTTTCTCACATATATGCCTAGCACAAATGCCGATTTAGACAAGTTAAGCATCAACTATCTCGCTGTATTTTATTTAACTTCACGCTAACGATTTAACTGTTTAGCCAAGCTTGCTAAAAATATAAAATTGTGCAGACTCTCATGCCACTTTTTAACAATTGTATATCTTGCAATACGCTGCTGTGGCGTCTGTTGATTCCCTGTACCCACCTGCACAGCAAAAATAAAGAATTTAAAAAAAAAAAAAACAATGTGGCTTAATGAGAAAGTAAACCAAGAGATTAAAAATAAAAGGGCATTTAAATCATTTAAATCGAATAAATTAGAGGCATCCTATATAAGATATAAGGAAGCCAACAATGCATGCAAAAAGGAAATGGCTAAATAAATGGCTAAACTGAGAAATTGATAGCCAAAGAAAGCAAAGCCAATCTCAATTTTTTTTTAAAGTAAATAACTTCTAATAAGCCAAAAAATGAAAGTGTAGGTACACTGAAAAAAGAGATTGGAATGTTAATCTATAAAGACCATGAAAACCCTCAGTGTATGAGGATCCTATGTTAAGATATATACATTGATTGCTGCAAAATAGAAAACATCTTGCAGAAAAATTGTGTTTGGATGACTCTACACAGCGGCGGACTGAGAACCCTCAGGGCCCCCGGGCAAAATAAATCAAGGGCCCCCTTACAGGCCCCACCCATACTCCGCAGCAAGCGCCACCCTTGTCCCGCCTCCAGCCACACCCTACACAATCTTTAGACACAAGGAACAAAAGTGCAATAATCCCTTCGAGGCCCCAGTAGAGACTACAATTGAGGGCTAATGGGCCATGGGGGGGGTCATTCTAGCAGAGGCTATCTCAGTGTCCTTTAGAGAGTGTGTTAGAAAGAATCTCCTCCAGGCCCCATTAAAGACTACAATGGAGTCTAATGGGGCCTGGAGGGGGGTCTCTCCAACACTCTGGTTCCTAGTCACAATATAGCAACACAACATAGCTCGCTGATACCAAGGCCAAGTTGGTGGCTTGCTGTAGGCCTGTGGGCTGGCTAACTGGTGGCTTGTGGGTTGCCTGTGGGTTGGCTGGCTGGCCGGCCTGTGGGATGGCTGGCTGGCTACTGGGGCACTTGTAGATTATTTAAAGAAATAATCCATGCACAATAACCACTACTGCTCTGTGTAGTGGTTATGGTGCCAGGAGGGCCGGGCCCCCCTCCCAGAGTAAGTAGTCAAACCGTTTAAGAACAGTTTGACAACTTACCTGGGGTCTGCTGGGATATGGGGCTGTAGTAGGGTATAGGAGCAGTGGTGGAATGTGTGAAGGGTGCAGTGTGTGTGGGGGTGTAGTGTGTGAATGTGTAGGGTGTGTGGGGCAATGTGTGTATGAGGGGGCTGTGCATGTGTGTGGCAATGTTAGTATGGGGGTCTGTGTGTATATGGGTGGGCAGTGTATGTGTGTGAGGCAATGTGTGTAAATGTGTATGGTGTATGTGGGGGCAGTGTGTGAATGTGTATGGCGTGTGTGTGGGGGCAGTGTGTTGGGGGGGGCAGTGTGTTTATGGGGCTAGAGTTCACTCTCACCACTGCAACCACCAGGAATCCCTGGTGGTCACAGTGTTGAGAGTGAACTCTAGCCCGTAGCTCCAGGGCTAGAGTTGACTCTCGCAAGAGCGGTAACGCTCTGTGCTCGTGCAAGAAGGACCCAGAGGAGCTGCAGGCTGAGCTCCTGGGTCCTCTCTTCCTCCCTCCCCTTCACAAGATTCCATATCTAGCCTGCATAGGCACCCTGGGGCACTTTACACAGAGCCTGGTACGGCTCTGGAATTCGTGAGTGGATTCATTTATTCTTTACTACATTATCATTATTACATACAGTCTATGCTATGTACTGCTTTGTGTTATTCTAGGGTTCCAGTCCATGGAATACCATCAGCGTACATCTTTTCATTTATAAGTATTGTATACACTCACTATTTGGGACTAAGAGAGTGGTGTGTGGATCTTTTTTTGGCATTTATACATTGAGTGTCAATATATCTTTTATTTTATATTGTGTATTTAAGGTGTTGGGGAACACTTTTTATCCCACCACTACTTGTGTGTTCCTTTCATTGTGTAAGCGCCATTCACTTTCCTATTTTTACATGTCTCTTTTTGCCTATGCAACTATGTAACTATGTAACTACGTAACAAGATAAAAGAAAACAGTTCATTCTGGGGCTAACAATTGTGAATTAATCTTTTACTAAAATTCAAGAAAATTACCTGATGAATCGCCTGACTGCTTTAGTTCATAACACCTTGCCATTGTTTGAAAAGATATGGATGCCTTGGGATGATTACATCTCCCCAACCTAATGGATAATGTTCCCTGCTATCTAGGCAGTATAGTTGCTGTGGGTTCCCTTTTCCCCTTCCCATTCCATCTCCACTTTTCGTTGTTTCTTTCTCACCGAATTTTGTCATTTTGTTTAGCATTTTATGCTATCTTACAGATGTATTGTTTATATGCCTGTTTTGCTCATTCTTTCAAATAAAGAATTAAAAATAAAATAAAACAATCAGGACTAGTATGCAAATCTGTTTTGAATTCTTCTTCTTTAGTTGCACTTGATGTGTAAAAATTATTATAAGTAAAAGTTTGAAAACAAGAGTGTGCTTATTTAAATTATTTTCTAAATTTTTACTTTTTATTCATTCTTAATTTCGTGTTAGGTATACATACAGGATATTAAAGGGAAGTTGTTTCTGTCTATTAAAAAACAAATACAGTATGCAAGGACTCACTTAAAGAGAAACTCTTAAATTACAGTGGAAAATGCACATAGTGCAAATTTTAGGTTTTATTTGAACTTGGACAATTGCTTCCATACTTAATATGTGAAAGAAGTGGTTCTGGTGCAAAGAGAATGTTTTGGAATTTTCAGAAAAGTAAACATTTTTCTAAGGAAGACTATTTGTATTGCTTTCTAGGCAACCATCTAGTGCAGTGGTTCCCAACCCAAATTTTGCACTTTAGGTCTGGGTTGGGAATCGCTGACCTAGTAGTTTTCACTCAGACAGGCACTTCCTGTTGCAGTCTTAAATGTTTGCAGGACTGATGTTCGGCATCTTCACGTTCTGCATGAAGATGCTTAATGATCCTAATTGAGCTAATGCATGTCTATAAACAGATGCTGATTAGCATACTCCAGCTATTTCCGTATGTGTGCAGTAGCCCCTCAATGCTTCTGTATGGGGAATCATTGAATTGACTGTGATCATTGTCATTGATGAGCACGACCTTGACGAGACTGGTACGGGAGGTACTAGAGGTCAGTAAATCTTAAATTACTGTTTCGGGGTCCCAATAATCTAAGTCAGGTGTAGGCAACCTACAGCACTCTAGCTACTGGATGGAACTCTGACTCACCAAACAAACTAAATTGTTTTCCCATCATCTGCTTTGTTTGTCCTATGAGTCATCCCATATGAAGATAAGGAGTGTCCTTTTATATACTAAAAAGCCATGGAAAATCCATGTGTGCCATAGTAATATTTAGATTATTCTATATTCTTCTATATTTAGAGTCTTCTATAACTTACATTGCACCTCTTAAAATAAATCTATTTTAAATTATCAACACATTATAAAATAGAATAAAAAACATGCTGGTGTAATGTCTCTTAGTATCTGACATGGATTTCACCAGTAAAAACTAGCTTCCTCAGTCAGTGTGTATCAATTGCCCAGTCAGTCAATTATATACCCTGCTAAATCTGCGGTTCCCAATTCGGTGTCTGACATAGGTGCTGGTTTCATGTTGGCTATGCCAGCAAATTTCCACTTGCATGTTCCAAGCGAGAGTGCTCCGATCATTTGACTAAGCATCTTCCATTTTGCTTGCTCTCTATACATTGCATTTCAACATTCATTTTGGTTTGAATTCCAAGAACCTTTAGTATATTCGCCTAAGTTTTCGATCCTCTTGGCTTGAGTGACTATTGGGTTCCCAAAAACATAATTTGGTCCACTGTATCCGTTATCTGGAAATAGTCATTCAGTTCATCATAAAACCACTTCCATATAGTTATAAAAATATATGAAAGTATTTCAAAAAAATATAGTACAATGATCATCTTTATTCTAAGAAATGGCACATTTCAAAATCCATATTTCATTAAAAATGGCACAATGTAATAATATTTTAAATAAATCTAATTTTCTTGATACCTAAATCCTATCAAAATTCCCACCCCACCTGAGACAGATATTTTTTTATATTCTTTTTGAACTTCTGCAGCTCTACATATATATTCAAACAATCTAATTTGCAAGTTGGTGCAAACTCTAAGCCTCTACTTAAAATCCTAATCTGTTTTTTTGTGAGTGTTAAGTTAAATATTCCTCCCACATCCTGTACTTTTTTTTATATCCCAGCATTTTCTCCCAGCCCAAAATTATCTTGTTCCCAATTCTG